GTTTTTGCTATAGGGCGCGTGCACTCACCAGAAAGACAGAGAGAGACAAGAGAGATAGAAAGTGAAAAATCACCCCTCCCCCCCAGGGGGGATGGCCACACTGCAATCCCTTCTCCTCCATTCTCTTCTCAGGCACGCACGCCCATGTGCCTGGCTTAAGTTTAAGCCACCGGGTCCGGGACTTGAACCATGGTTGGCTACATGGGAGTTCAGCGACATAGCCATTATGCTAACTGCTGGTCCCCTGAGAAAGGGGAAATCTGTACTGTGGTCTGAATGTTAACCAGAATGCCTAATATATAGGTATGTTGCATTAAAGAAACACTGTAAAGCCCTACTGAATTCAAAGATAAGGGTGATGATTAGCGTTGTCTATATTTTTTTGGGAACATTAAACCCTCCGATTGTAGGAGGGAAAAGGTTTCTGAATTTTGTAAAACTAGGATTCCATTCTAATGTGAGGTCTGATTTTCATATATTCCTATTTTCTTTTGTACTGATAAAAAGATCTGTTTGTCAGGTAACAAGAAGTGAACTGAAAGTTTATAATAAAGCTTCCAAAAGTAAGAGGGAAAGGGTTGAGACTGTGATTGAGAGACCTTCAATTAATGGATAACAGCTGAGAAAAATGACTAGTTCTTTAACTCTGTAAAGGAAGTATTGTGTCCTGGGAATGGGACTAGATTTGGAATCAAACAATCCGGATTTAGTTTTTTTGCCCATGGGGCAAGTCTAAATTCTGTCAAAATTTGCTTACCAGGAAAACAGACCTAAGAGCTGCCTGCCACATAAAGGAAGATTAAGTATTGAGAGGTAGCATACCATTGCAAAGAGCATGGGCTTTGGAATTAGGTAGTAAGCTACCTCTTTGAACTCAGTTTTGAGCTTTAAACTGGGGAAAATATTTTAGCATGCAAAACAGAACATGGAATAAATTAGGGGCTTTTAAAAAAGTAGGTGTTCTTTAAATCTCAATTCTTCTCTGCTTCTAAAATGAGCACTATTAAGATTCACCTCTAATTTTGTAGGAATTAAATGTTTATAAAGTCCTGGGCACAGAATTCTTCCATAAACTGGGCCTGGACCTATTTACTCTCCTCCTTGATCATGTGTAGGTTGAGAAAGAAGCAGTGAAGCAGAAAATTTGATAGTAATATGGTAAATCTGTTCACCATGCAATTCTCACTTGTTTATTATCTATCTACGTGGGCCCAGTATCAAATATACTGCTTTAATTTCTAATGGAATGCAGCTATGCAAATCCAATTTTATGATTCTGTGGATTAGGTAACATTCAGTTCATGATGAACATCTGAGTTTTGCCATGGCTTGGATAATAGTTTCCCCCACAAGTTTCATGGTTTGAAAGTTTGGTCCTCAGTGTGATGGCCTGGGAGGTGGCTACACCTTTAAGAGGTGGGGTGTGGGGCCAGCAGATGAAGTGGTGGTTAAGGCGCTGGATTTTCACATGGCCAACTGCACTTCAAATCCCAGACATGGAAGACTTGAAAAATCACACTATTCCAGTGCGCGCATGCATGTATGCATGTGTGTACCAAAAATCCCTAGAGGAGAAGGGATTGTAGTACAGCAATACACCCGGGGAAGGGGAGGGGGGGAGGATGACTTCTCACTTTCCCTTTCTCTGTCTGTCTCCTGTAAGCACATATACCCTACAGCAAAAACCTAAAAAGAAACAAAACAAAACAAAAAGAGGTGGGGTATAATGAGAAGGCATCATCCAATGGAAACTACTTCTAGGAGTTTACCCTAAATACAGTAATTTGCTAATGATAAGGAAAAATGAGCCAGAAACTTGCTCATCAAATGGAAGAATGGGGGGGGGGGGAACGAAAGTGGTATCTGTGTCCTTTCTCTCTCTCTCTGCAAGTGCCCACCCTCCCTGCTGGTCAGCCAGTTAACAATGTAGCACTAGAGACTGCCCCGATGCCAGGCCTGACACTTTTAGCCTTTATGGCAGCCAGAATAGTGAGCCCAATAAACTGTTATAGTTTATAAATACCCTAGTCTGATGTGTTTGTTCACTAACACGGTACTAGACCAAGACAGGACATGTAATAACTTGGTATGTCCCGTAATCAGGCAATCAGTCTATCAATGCCTAGTAGCAGCCAGAAGCTGCTTTTTGGAATGCAGAATAGTTGTTGGTAGAGGTCAGCATGGCCAAAATTCTAGGTAGGGTTTTAGTTGTGATTCTCCTATTGGGGCTTGCTTAAGGCGAGCATGGCATCTTTGGCTGATACCTCAGTCAGGAACTCAAGTCTGCTACATCATAATATCCAACAGTTTTTTCTAGATCCAAACCTCATTAAACACTGCAATAGTCCCACTAAATGTTTTAGAGGTTATCCAGGAAACAGGTCAAAAGAGCATACTCAAATTTGATACTGGTTTCAAATCCAAAGAGATACCATGTATCATTTCTCTTTCTTCATGGTGTGTGATACAAAGTGCAGCAATTTGTCTCATACTTGAGGAGGGATATCCCAACATTCCCCAGAACTCAGGACCCCTAAAAATTTTCTTGATGTGGCAGGCTTTTAAGCTTCCACGAGGGTTTATCTCTGACTATCTGGCACACAAGTACGAGGCAGCTAACATGCTTGTGTTTTTTGCTCACGAGATCTATTAATAGTTAGCACAACAGCATCATTTTAATGTACCAAGATGGTCCCTGTTTTATCAGATTCTCAAGGTCCCTGTGGACCTGGCATTTTGAAGGAGAATACAGCAGGCACAACAGTATATCTTATGATCTAATCTTAGTGACAAAAATGCAAACTAAGTTTTTTTTTTAACTCATGTTAGTGTAAAAGAAAGCATTTGCTAGTTCAATAGCTGCACACCAATTGCCAGGGTTTACACTGATTTTTCCAAATAAATATCAAATCTAGAGAAGAAAATCCTTTGCACAGCTGCTGATCCTTTGCACAGTTGTGGATACACAAAATGATCGATAAAAGCCTTTCTTAAAATACCCAGTGGAGGGACCAGCAGTTAGTGTAATGGCTATGTCGCTGGACTCCCACGTAGTCGACCGCGGTTTGCGTCCCGGACCCAGTGGCTTAAAACTCGCGCCGGGTGTGTGTGCTTGAGTGCCCAAGATCCCAAGAGGAGAATGGAGGATAAGAGGATAAGAGATTGTGGAATGACCATCCCCCTTGGGGGGTGATTTCTCGCTTTCTGTCTCTCTGTCTCTGTCTGGCGAGCGCACACGCCCTATAGAGAGAAAATCCTCTCGGGACCAGCAGGTGGCGTGGTGGTTAAGGCGCTGGACACTCCCACGTGGCTGACCAGGGTTCAAGTCCTGAATCTGGTGGCTTGCTTTCTCACTTTCTTTCTCTCTCATTCTCTCCCTCTGTCTCTCTCTGGTCAAATTAAGAAATGAATGAATGAATAAATAAATAAATAAATAATTATTTTAAACAAAACAAAACAAAAACCTGACGTTGGGCACATGTGCGTGTGTGCCCCTAAAATCCCAAGAGGAGAATGGAGAAAGAACCTTGGCATGGCCATCCCCCCAGGGGGGTGATTTCTTTGTTTCTGTCTCTGTCTCTCTCTGGTGAGAACATGCACCCTATAGCAAAAAAAGTGTTAAAAATTATACCTAGTGGGGCCAGCAGATAGCATGGTGGTTGAAACATTGGACTCCCACATGGCTGACCATGGTTCCAATCCCAGACCTGGAAGCTTGCTTTCTCACTTTTCTTCTCTCTCTCTGTCTCCCTCTGTTGAGCACAAGTGCCCTGTAGCAAATTTAAAAACTAATAATGGTGATAAATAAAATGAAATAAATAATTCTTTAAAGATAATTATAATAAAATAATATGTAGTATCAGGGAAAGCAGGCGATGTGAGTGGACTCCCACATGGCTGACCACAGCTTGAGCCCTGGACCTGATGACTTGCTTTCTCATGTCCCATCCCCTCTGTCTCTCTCTGCTGAACACATGTGCCCTATAGCAAACTTTAAAAAAAAAAAAAAAAGGAAAATAAAAATAAA